GATAACTTGTTATAACCACTATAAATATGTACAACATTATGCACAAATGTGAACCTTCACATGTATTATGGAGCGGCATTAATATAAGCCATTTAGGCTTGTTTGCCAATCCTTTTCTTTCTTCTTGAATAGAATAAAATATGTTTAAACCACTAAGGGGCTCAACTTTCGATGCACGTATTGTAATTTAACAAGGCATTGTTCGGGAGTTTCATTGGTACGCATTGCAAAATGAATCAGGAATTTCAATATTTTAACTTTATGCCATAGTTAAGGCGGTAGCTGCTGTTTGGTGTGCTGCGTCACAAATCATATACATGGACTTGAACACAATGTCACAGAGTTCAGATTAAGACCTTTTGCGGGCCTTGTCTTCAGTGAACGAAAGTATCTAAGTAATGGGCGTTGAGGGCATCTATGAGTAGTACTGTAAGCAGCTTTGCACCGCTTTTAGCAATATTCCAGCAAAATCATGGCGGCGTATTCCACACATTGTACCCATATGGGGAATTGAACCCGGGTCTTCAGCGTGACCAGCGAACGCTTTACCCACTGGGATACCCCACTGCCCCTCTAAAATTGGAGAGTACTCTTCTGTTGTTCTACTGTGCCCATGTATGCCTAGGCCTTGCCAAATGTGCTATATAGGCCCCTCCAGTACGTCTATCCGTAAATTGACAATGTTGTTAGCAATAGGTCTGGTGACACTTCCATCGACAATATCGATCATTGAAGACTGCCTGCATTCAGAGTATATAAGTCATGTCATGAATGTCACTTCCATTAATTTCATTTGTGATGCCTTGATATTCCTTTACAAACAAATATTGGAATGCTATTGGTCCTGACGTCACACAACGTTTTAAGAAACATTGGAATCAAACAGAGATAGAGTTATCGTTCTTGTTTAAAGTAGTTCTGATGTTCATCATTCGTGACCCACTCGTGTTATTCCCATTCGTGACCAACTCGTGTTATACCGGGACAAGCCAAATAGCGACTCGTGCCCCTCTGTAAGGATTTCATATTGGCGCATGAACATCAGAACTACTATAAACAAGAACGATAACTCTATCCCTGTTTGATTCCAATGTTTCTTAATATCACCGAAGCACATGTACATTGCTAGGTTGTTGTTTTTACGGGATTTTTTAACTTAATTATTTTAAAGAATTAAACCACTTTGATACAACTAAAAGAAGGAGTAAAACATATTTGTTAAAGACATATTCTAATGTAATTATAACCAGCTGTTCACCTTATATTTCCAATTATATTAATTTTCTTAATAGGGTTTAATCATCACAAATGGGAATTGTTTTATTGAATATACACAAAAAAGAATTTTCAGCTACATTAAATCGATATCCCAAAGCAGATACTCAAAAATGACTTTTAAATAGTTCTCAGAACATTCGTGTAACCTTGCTGTCACACCCCTGGTGGAATTTCAAATGGATTCGCTGAAAAAGAATATGAATGACCAAAAAAAACACTCAGACTAAAATATCCCCAGAGCTATGAAATATAAGCCAAATGTTAAAGATTAAGGTTGATTAGTTACATACAAATACGATATTATTGTTTTGAAACTCGTAGCGATTATAATTACATTTCCTAAATTTGGTCGAAGCGCACGTACAATCTCCATAACAAGCCCGCAAGATCGTCAGAAATACACTCAGTTGGACCCATGTGAGCAATTATGTCAACAAACGCACGTGCGTGTATTTGAATCTCTCACCGTAAATCGCATGATTCGTATTAAAAAACTTCATAATAGGCAGCAAAATCCTTTAGCTACGTTCTTTGTACTTTCAAAGCACCGCGCTCATTTACGCGCGTTCTGATTGGTTTGTCGTATTTTCGCACATCACATGTATCGAGTAGGGGACGAGTCTTCTTGGAGGTTACGGAAAGGGGTGGGGTGGTGACGAATGGATGTTCATGTGCAAATTTTATGAAATCCTTCCAGAGGGGCACGAGTTATTCGGCTTGTTCCGGAATAACACGAGTTGGTTCCGAATGGAAAACAACAAGGATATTAGGTGGAACTCAAGCAACATCATGCCAGGACGCACCAGGATTTGTCAGTATCAACGTTGAAGTTCCCGGCGCTGATCCTCTGCCAATCTGTTCTGCTGTCTTAGTCTCCACCGTCACCGTCTTCACTTCCGACTTCTGTGTTGCACAGCTGGCTGCGATTCCAGAGTACGTGGAGTTAATACAGCCAGAGTAGCATCTGGTTACATTAGTTCCTGTTGATAGTAGACCCGTGAAGATCCGGATTAGAATTGGTTTTCAATTGATCTGTCATGTGAGGTGAGGTGAAATTGGGTTTAACGTCGTGCTTGAAAATAACCTTGTCTGGACCAAGTAAATAACCTTGTCTGGACCAAGTAAATAACCTTGTCTGGACCAAGTAAATAATCTTGTCTGAACCAAGTAAATAACCTTGTCTGGACCAAGTAAATAACCTTGTCTGAAACAAGTAAATAACCTTATCTGAGCCAAGTAAATAACCTTGTCTGGTCCAAGTAAATAACCTTCTCTGGACCAAGTAAATAACCTTGTCTGGTCCAAGTAAATAATCTTGTCTGTACCAAGTAAATAACCTTGTCTGGACCAAGTAAATAACCTTGTCTGGACCAAGTAAATAACCTTGTCTGAGCCAAGTAAATAATCTTGTCTGGTCCAAGTAAATAACCTTCTCTAGACCAAGTAAATAACCTTGTCTGGTCCAAGTAAATAACCTTGTCTGGACCAAGTAAATAACCTTGTCTGGACCAAGTAAATAACCTTGTCTGGACCAAGTAAATAACCTTGTCTGAACCAAGTAAATAACCTTGTCTGGACCAAGTAAATAACCTTGTCTGGACCAAGACCAAGTAAATAACCTTGTCTGGACCAAGTAAATAACCTTGTCTGGACCAAGTAAATAACCTTGTCTGGACCAAGTAAATAACCTTGTCTGGACCAAGTAAATAACCTTATCTGAACCAAGTAAATAACCTTGTCTGGACCAAGTAAATAACCTTGTCTGGACCAAGTAAATAACCTTGTCTAGACTAAGTAAATAACCTTATCTGAGCCAAGTAAATAACCTTGTCTGGACCAAGTATATAACCTTGTCTGGACCAAGTAAATAACCTTGTCTGGTCAAAGTAAATAATCTTGTCTGTACCAACTAAATAACCTTGTAATAACCTTGTCTGTACCAACTAAATAACCTTGTCTGGACCAAGTAAATAACCTTGTCTGAACCAAGTAAATAACCTTGTCTGAACCAAGTAAATAACCTTGTCTGGACCAACTAAATAACCTTGTCTGTACCAAGTAAATAACCTTGTCTGAACCAAGTCACGTGACTGACACCCTGAGCATATATCTACGTAAATGTGACACACTGACATGCATCAACCGTAGCACCCAATAGTCAAACGCCACAAGCCTTGAAGAAACGGACCTTTACGGCGGGGCGTGTACTAAAACCACAAGGAGTTTAGGACACAATTGCTCAAACACGTGCACAATTTTACGTGAACCTTATTTTGATATGTGCGAATGCTACAGTAGACAAATTGTATTATCACCTTTGATCAGCATGTGATTCGATACTATTTATGTTTAAACACTTAGTTCGTCCATGATTACAGCACGTCGCTTACCCTTTTCCGGGTATACTCAATCCATGATTGCTCCAGTCTTTTAGATTATTGTTTTAGTTTCAGTATATGACAACAGCACTCTGTTTGATGCCGCGCTCTGTCCTGAGTGTACCGCAACGACGCCTGAAACGACACCTCCCCCTCCAAGTTGTATAACAAACAACGACGACCGAGCCTGTTGTGAAGCTGGTCAGTAAAGAACTGGGGTGTGGCGGGCGAGGGAGGATTTTAAACAAAATTCACAGGACCTTCCGTAATATAGTAGATCCGAGCGAAAGGAAATTCAATGTTTTCTGGAGAATCAGCTTTAATGTTTGCACAAAAAGGGAGGTTTAAACGTAGTGTGCGTACTGTGTAAATTGGTGAGTGAGTATAGTTCTACGCCGCTTTTAGCATATTCCAGCAACATCACGGCGGAGACACCAGAAATGGGCTTCACACATTGTACCCATGTGGGGAATCGAACCCTGGCCTTCAGCGTGACGAGCGAACGCTTTAACCACTAGGCTACCCTACAGCCCCGCGTACTGTGTAAAGCAGCTATTATCATATCTTGTAATATCCATGAAGCTATTATATATTGAAGCCAATTCTGATGAAGCCAGACTGCTTATTATTAATCATAACACAACTACCCTGTGCTTTTGCTTAGCCAATGAAATGTCATGGAATCACTTGCAATTTATATGTTTTCTTAAGTCTCTACACTTCCTTAATTAGGTCACTTTGAACATGACAATGATTCATAGCCAAAAGCTTTTGACCAGGACACCCAAAGAAAACTAGCCGACATCGACCAAACCATGGAATATGTAAAAAGGTGGAATAGAAATTGCCGAAAAAATAGCAAAAAGGACGGTACTGATCAAAACCTACGTTTTAAGGGAACCAAACAGTAAATCACGAAGATCGCAAGAAACTGCGTCCGCACACATTCGAAAAGGTGGATCTCCATCAAAGGTGTTCTGGGTTTTTCGACGCACGCTTTATGGACATTGTGTATGTATGTTTGTATGTCGGCTCTTTCAATTTCAACTTTGTAGGACATTTGTCTTGGTAAAAGCAAGATGTTAAAGTCATTTGGTGCAATGGGAATCTACATAATGCGATTAAATATTTCTGGATACCTGTGCCAATTGCAGAGAAACTGCCTCCTACTATTTGATGCTAATTAGGCCAAGAAGTTGTAATGAGCGCCATATTGGTAACTGAAGCACTCTTCCACTTTGGAAACTGCTAATTAAGAAATGATGTTCATTATAAAAGTTAAACAAAAACTGTCAATTCGCCTTTTTTTCAAAACCTGAACTAGTTATTTCTTTCCTCTTACAGATCCATCCACATGCAACGGTGTTGACTGTTCGTGTGAGCTTCCAGACTCCCCATACTGTGCAATCTGTAAGTTTTGTTTGTTAGTTTGTTGTTTTACGTCACACTCAACCATATTCCAACTATATCAGGGCGGTGAACCAGACAATTCAGTGATTTACGTAACACATTTAGGGAAACGATGACGTGTCAACCAAGTCAGCGGGTCTGACCACCTGATCCTTCCTGTTAGTCGCCTCTTACGACACGCATAGTAAGTGAGTGAGTTTTACGCAATTTTTAGCAATATTCCAGCAATATCACAGCAGCCTGAAGTTGACGAATAACGTGCTAGCAGCGGGTTCGTTATTCGTTATTTGTTTTTCGAATAACGAATAACGTGCTAGGAGCGGGTTCGTTATTCGTTACTAGTATTTGTTTTTCGAATAACGAATAACGTGCTAGCAGCGGGTTCGTTATTCGTTATTTGTTTTTCGAATAACAAATAACGTGCTAGCAGCGGGTTCGTTATTCGTTATTTGTTTTTCGAATAAGGAATAACTTACGGGTTCGTTCGGTCATTCCAGTTCTATCAAATATGAAATATAAGATACAAGATAACTAGCGCCGACTATGCAGACTAAGAATAACAAGTATTCGATGCCTAAATCCCCGCGGATTCGTTTTTCGCTGCTCATATAACGAACCTGCTGCTTGCACGTTCACCTTTTCTCACGAAATGTGCACCAACTGATAACTGGAAATGATAAAAAATTAAATTCCCTTTTTTAAATGATAAGTCATTTTAGTGTTAGAACATCATTTATTGTTCACAAAATTCAAACTATGAAAAGTCAGATGTCAACGAGAACACGATGATCGCCAGTCATGATTGGGTACCCAGGATTGGCTAAATTAATTTGCATAAATTGATCATCAAACTTACTTTACAGTTTTTTTGTAAACAAAGTGTTACTTGAAATATATTTCACATAAGTTTTATCTGTATTATATTGTGACAAAACAACACAATATGGCCATTATACTTGAATACCATCTTGTCATCTAAGTTACCGTAACATTACCGTATCTATATAGAAATTTAGGCAAAATAATGGTGAAATGTTGCTATTCTATTACACAGAGTTACATTAAAAGATACAAAACAAAATAACTGTTCTTCGTTTCATTCATTATTTAAAGTACAGACAGTACATTAGCACAGTGAAAATTCATCCAATCTGTAATCACGTTACCTGTTTAGTTTGATGTAGAATAGCAACAATGATAAGCCAATTAAAAGTAAATAATCATTTAACGTTTAGAAGAGTTCATGACATAACTTTAGATCCATAAAACTGTCTTACCTGAGTAGCCCTGATAATGTGTGATCAGTTCTACTCAGGTTCTGCTCTTGCACATTTCAATCCCGCAACTGAACAAAATGTCCGTCATGCCATGTGTTTTTGGCGCTTGTATGACTGCGTCAATATTACTTCTGGAACCAGTGCACGGTCAGTGCCAAAGGTACGTAACTATTGTGTGCGATCCGTGAAAAAGATGATGCTCCTTTGGAAATGAGGTCACGCAGATTACATAACGTAAATTTTGGTATGACACAGACGTGATACCATGCCGCAGTGAAGCATGGATACCCCACTCAGACACATTATACTGACTCCGAGCTGACAAGTCCTTGTACCCATTAATGCCGATCGCCAGGCAGGGACCAACAAGTACCATATTTTAACGTCTTTTGGTATGACGCGTCGGGGATCGAACCCGTGACCTTCCGCTCTCCGGTGTAAAGAAAGAGCATCTCCCTCACTTACTTATTACGACTGAATTGGTCCATTCATTTTAAAACCCTTTTGGTGACATTGGATGTACAGTTTTTGTCTTATGGTGGTCACGTAGATTACATCCTAAAATTCTCTACAACTTTAAACCTGTGAAGCATCATAGTGAGAAATCGGCTGAAATTTAGTGGCTATGAGATCGATATTGGATTGTCCCCACATAAAACTGTAAATAAGAAATACTATTTAAGGAATACATGTAATTTACGTAATAATTATGTGGTCATTTTCATGGGGTAACGTACATAACGCATTTTGGGAGACATCATATTAAACATAAATCCGAAAACAAATAAACCATGTGAAGATATGTTCTGGCTTTCTGGGTATGGACGAAAGGGACAATACCTTATGTCGAAAATGTAATCTGTTTTGTTCACACTACATGACTATTTACTTTGAAATGTTCACTCAAAATGTTATACTATCATTGGAGACATGCACATTTTGGTGATTTTGACTAACGTTTACCCTGAGTCACACACAGGAATAACAGATCATTAACAATTTCTACGTCTCGGATACCTAGTAGTACCAAGCCTGTCGCCTAATATAAACAAGAAATGAACAGGTGAAATCACTAACAAAGTTTGTTTTAAAGCGGAGACACGTAACATTACAAATGGTGCACATTTCGTGAGAATAGGTGGTTATTCGTTATTCCAAAAAATGAATAACGAAAAACGAACCCACTGCTAACTTCAGGCTGCTCAATATAATGGCGGGTGACAATAGAAATGGGCTTCACATAATGAACCCATACGACAAGCACAGGTTGCTAATGATCTTCACGGGTGGCCGTTAAGTCTTCACAGAGCTATGCACACGTGTTTGCTGGAATTGAATGCATTCCGAATGCTCTGTCAGGTCCAGATTAGTGAGTGAGTCAGTTTAGTTTTACTCCGCTTTCAGCAATATTCCTGCAATATCACAGCGAGGAACACCAGAAATGGCTTTCCGCATTGTACCTATGTAGGGAATCGAACTCGGACCTTCGGCGTGATAAGCGAACGCTTTACCCACACGACAACCCCACCGTCCCTGGTCCAGATTAGGAAGTAGGTGCCGCAATAGTAAGTTTTAAACAACTCAGTGCACATGTCGACGGCACTTCAGGCCACGACGTCCATGTAGGTGCATCATGTATTTCAAAACAAAATGTTTGCAATGAAATCCCAGAAACATCTTAATCTGGTGTTTAGTTTTATAGTTTATTACTAATATAGCTATTTGACATCTATTGGCATATATTAAATATTTCAAGTGGGACAAAAATAGGATAAGATAGGGGTGAAGTGTAAGAAAATGATCATGAATTTACAATCAAAATTGATATTGTTTTTCTTTTGAAACTTTCAGTCCGATGTACTCTGTATGCCGATTTTTGTTCACAATGCTTCACACCACCTACTACAACCACGACAGTACCAACGACGACAACCGCAGCTGTACCTGTCTTCTGTCTAGGTGGTGGACGTGAGTGTTTTAAATCAAAACAATCCTCTTGCCTCTAATCGTGTGAAGAATAGATCTAGCATCTTACAGGCTAATTGCCTGTGTCTGATTCAGTGATCGGGGACATATGGGCCCGCCTTAGGATTTAAGGCACCCGAAAACTGCTTCTCTTTGTCTGAATTGCCTATTCAGGTCGCGCAAGTATGTTTATTTTGGGGTTGTTTTTAGTTGTGGTGGGGTGGAGTTCACTTATCACGTTTTGTCTCCCAGAGTTGTCCCATGATGCGATGATCGTATTTCAGGATTCAAGGACTGACCTATATATAACCATTCTCATATCAGAACTATAGTCTTTTTGTAAAAAGAACGTGAACGATCCGTTATATTTTCTGCAATAAACAACGAAATACTGCTCAAGCAAGGTTGAATACTCAACTCAACATTCACATTTTCCAGTTTACTGTCGGCTTGAAGAATGTTGTGCTGTCGATGCCTGTGCACAACTTCAAATCTGTTCTGGTGAGTGTATGTTTTGTGATTCTGTAGAGGTTTAATGCATTAGTCAGAATCTGCCCGTTTTGCTTTACTTTTGGTTTTGTGCTATATTAACTCTACACTAATGCATAAAAAAGTGAGCAGATCTGTTTTTAGGAGTGAAAAACACACTTTTGAGTGACACTGTTTTCAGTTAAGGGTAAGGTAGGTGAAGTAAATGGAGTTAGATACACACAAACTCTTAAAATGTATGAACTAAAGTACTGCTAATACTATATTGTAATACGTTTATTGTAATTGGGTTTACGTGGATATAGTTAGATACACACAAACTAAACTAAAAGTAAAATACTCGTTTGTGTAACATGTGATTTTAAAATGAAACACTGAAAACAAACTGAAAAAAGAAAAAAAGGATAGGAAACTTAAGTAGACCATAACAATGGTAAACCTAGATAAAATACAAAAAAGCAAAATGCGCTTTTATAGGAGGAACAACCCAAGAATTTGAAACAAGGGAGACTCTACAGATTGGCAATTTCAAGCTTGCATGCTTAATATCTACACAATATATACATACATATTCATACGCATACGCCCGCCGTTGTATCCATACATATTTACACCAAACCATACACAAGTGACCAAACACACGCACTTATACATGCATACACACGCAGATATATACCAGATATATACATATTATAAAGGTATTACAAAACATTTATACACACGGAACATACATGTATCTTCTGCACACATACAACACACATTATAGTCCAACTATGCTTACTTCTACACATACTACACACATATTCCACACATACAACACACATAACAGTGCATGTATGCTTAGTTCTACACATACTACACACATATTCCACACATACAACACACATAACAGTGCATGTATGCTTAGTTCTACACATACTACACACATATTCTACACATACAACACGGATTACAGTGCATGTATGCTTTAGTAGTACACATACTACACACATATTCTAATACACATACAACACACATTACAGTGCAAGTATAGCTTAGTTGTACACACACTCACACACATATTCCACACATACAACACACATAACACAGTGCATGTATGCTTAGTTCTACACATACTACACACATATTCCACACATACAACACAGATTACAGTGCATGTATGCTTAGTTCTACACACATACTACACACATATTCTACACGTACATCACACACATTACAGTGCATGTATGCTTAGTTCTACACATACTACACACATATTCCACACATACA